CCCCCCCCCAGTAAATGTAGAAGATCTTTTTAAATGAAAATTTCAAAATTAATATTTTTTTACAAGTTGAAAGAATTAAGTAATTAATATTTTTCATTTACAATTGGCATTACTGTGCCATTCATTAGTTGAAAATACCAAGTACCATATATAATTATACAGAGGTTAAATCTTTATTTTGGGCCCTTCAAATTAAAGACTATGATACTTCAAGATATTTCAGAGATAATGTTTATTTTTTGAGTTTGAACACTGGAACCAACCCATGGATAGTCAAAGTGTAATGGCTTTAATTCCTTTAAAAATGCGTCTGAGGTAACTCTATCTGTAGATAGAGTTACCTGGTTTGAGTTTCTGACACAGTTTCCTGCTTTGGGCCTCTCAGCTAACTTTATCTATGGATAAAGTTAGCTGAGAGGAAAACTTGGCAGAAGTCAGTGTCAATCATCTCTGTACTAACCTGAATTAAATGGTTGGAGATTAGGTTTCATTGCATTATGCAATTAAATCTGATAGAGTACCCAGATGCACACTCTCAAGGAGTTTATGTTTAGTTGGCCAAATGACTAAATGATTGCCAGCTGAAATCAGAACCTGTTTTTAATGAAACCTAAGTTGCTTGCTTATAGCAGCCGTTGTGTTTAGGTTTAGAAATCAGAAAAAAAAAAATCTTCCCAATCCTGTGGCACCTGTCCCCAAACAATTGCTATCTCTATTTAATATCTATTCAGAAATGGCAGTGTATCAGTTTTCTACACCCTCACTTAAATCACATTGATTTATATGCAAGATTATTTTCTCATATACAGCTGCACCCACTCCCCTACCCTACTTGAACCACAATTAGAGCAGTTCTCACTATATATTTTGGTGCTGCTAGCCAATCAAGACTATAACTTGATACTTATATGTGAAATATTACTTTCACACATTTTGTACATTTCGAAAACTGGTCTGGACAGTTTAATATCCACACAGATAGCTATAATTTCCTACGAAGTCATAACCAGTGACAACCTGTTCTTGTCTTGTTTAGACTGGTGATCACTAGCTTTTGTGTGTGTGTGAGAGAGAGAAAGAGAGAGAGAGAGAGAGAGAGAGAGAGAGAGAGTGAGTGAGTGAGAGAGAGAGAGGGAGAGAGAGAGTAGTCATGTAAAGCTACATCTCTGCAAAACCTGCTGTTTTTCTTGATTGCTTTTCACTCAGTCAATTTCACCGTTTTATGAAGAAGATATTTGACAGTATGTTGCCCATGAAAATTCTTGCCTGTCATCTTAGAAATAATTAATATGGATGAAGACAGAAAGGAATAACTTGACATGAAGCAAGTTTGACTACTTTATAACTTTGTAAATTGATCTTGTTATTTTTACGTGTTGCTTTTTTTTTTCTCGTGTACTTGACATAATTCTCAAGTGAAATAAACATAAAAAGTCTGTCATTTGAATGCATCCGAGCAAATAGCAATTTATTACTTTCTTATTTAAACAAAACAGTTTAAAGTTGAGTTGGTCATTTTTTCTATGATACTAAAGCACACCTTCCTCAATTCATTCCAGAAAGCTTACAATAAATACAGAGCTGTCCTCAGAATCGTCCACACCGGAAAGAGAGAACCTCAACCACAGCTGACAGCAGAAAACACAAAATGGACATCTGACAAATGATGCCAGAATAATATATATACCCCCGGTAGAACTGAGCAAGAAGAGTTCTAGGACGTCCTCACTTAAGCACTACAGCGAATCAGGAGAGCTTTGTGCTGCCATCTATCGATAGCCTTCCAAACTTATCACACGTGCGCAAACATTTCAGTAAACAAGAGAAGACGGTGACAACTGTCCTAACTGCTTGGTGTCAAGTTCGATTATGACTTAGATTGACGAAATTAGAGAAGGTTTAAAAGAAATGCCAAAGATTTTGAATTGAAGACGAAAAGAGGCAGGATTATTACAGGCAGTATGTGATTTATTTCGGAGGGCGGTTTTGAACAAAATAACTGATACGGAATGGAGCTAATAACCAAAAAGGCAGTCAATTAAGAACAGTTTTATACTGAAACAGGGTAAAATGGCAAAAATTTTGTTTGTCAACAGTGGGATTTTTTGTTAAGATTGTTATTTTAAAATACGATGAAAAATGCAAAGAATACGCGTGATACCAAATACAAGTACATATGAACCCACAGACGGTCTCAAGTAAGGTAGACTGACACGTGAAGGAGATAGTCTACGAGGTCATTAGACTCATGAGATGCATCAGAGAATACACAATGTGATAAAGTTGTTGTCGTAATTATTACAGATTAAACACATGCAGGTCATGGTTTAATCAAGAACCTGTTTCACATATCGTTCCACAGTACAGTGATATTCATCATGCTATTTCACATGTTGATTCACGTGCTGCTTCACATTTTATAATTAATGTAACCTATATAATATATGCACACTTAAAGTGAAGAAAAAGGAAATTAGATTAATGATTCAAAGATTGGAAGGTTGTGAGAAGCTTGATTGCCATTACGCAATAAATATTCTTATCTGCAAAAACGTATTTTATCACTGTCGAACTGATTTTTTTAAAAATATTATTTATACCGAATAAAACAATTGAAATCATGGAGAAAGCCACTTTTGAATATTCGTCGTGGATGCAGGGGGGGGGGTTGCAGGCCTTTTCACAGTTAATGATATCCTATGGTGACGTTATATTTCTGTAGTGCACATCGACGTGCTTATCGTGATCAAGATTCTAAAGTGGTTAAAAACACGTTTTATGTGTTCAGATAAGATTTACTTTGAAATTTCATACCACCATGACGCGAGAAACAACAAAAACCGCAACGTAAGACCTNGACTGGACAAAAGAAATATATATACACGTACAAGAAGAAAAAAACAGAGAACAGGTGAAAAAAGACCATGCTCCGTTCTCAATAAAACTATTTTTTCGGGGTTTTGCGTCCGCTAAAAGTCGAGTGCACAACGCCAACCGTAAGAGAAACAGCGAATAACTGACCTTCCGGAAGACGGTCAGATTTTCAAGTTTACATTGACGGGTAGGCCCCCTATCTAATTTTTTCTGTCGGAAGACGGTCAAAAATGGAGGATGGATCAACAAAGATAATTTGGAAGACTGTCAGAAAATATTTCTGGCTCCGCCCCAAGTTATGGATAGGTTTACTAGTATGTGCTTGTCAATTGGGAGACGGGAGCAGAATGGAACTTCCGCACACAAGGGTTGGCTGGAACAAATGGAACGCTGTGGACCACGCCCAGTACGAGTATATATGTGTCGCCCACGCACTAACAGAAAGTGGCGATCTCATCTGAAACCACGGACGTTGACAGGTTGTTATGGTCATGTGTCTGTGACAGCACTATAGCCAGCTGTTCTCAACTTGGGTCTCGTGACACGGGTGGTGTAGAAAACGAACAGTCCGGACAAGTTATTGAAATTTGCGAAAACACTATTTCGTGGATTGATGCCAAACTATGGATTTGATTGGCTGGCGGCGCATCCGTTGCGAGAACTGCTCGAATAGAACTTCTTGCACGACAGGGGGCGTAGCAGACCTCTCTGTCTGTATATAAACAGGGTGTGGCTCACAGTGCAGCATTTGTACCAGTCTTCGTGCAGACCTTCCGTCTTGCTCCGGTCTACCAGCTGAGAAGCACACGCCAGTACGATGTTCAGCTTCAAGCCGTTTCTCCTGCTGTTGGCTTTGTGGTCTTGCCTGTTGTTAACGGACGCAAAACGCCGAAAACAAACGCTCACGAAGAAGACTCCAAAGTTTGGAACACTGTCCGAAAGGGTCCTTAGGAGAGAGTTTCAAGACTTTCTCAGTAAGAAACTGCTCGCTCTAACAGCGGTAAGTCACATGTTCAAAAACGATTAGCTGGCGGTGTTGCCGACTAATTCAATATCGACAAAACATTGTTGGATTGATTTGTCATTTGCATATTCTACCGAACCTTGTCACCTCTACCCTGTGAGATGTAGTTGCATGGAGTTTTGGACGGCACATTTAATAGACGGTTATGTTACCATTTTGGCATGGCCAAGAAAGCATGAAGTCAAATGATTAACCAAGCTGACTGCTTTCGGCCTGTGGTCGTGATTCGCGAAAAGTTGTCTTCACAGTTGGTTGAAGCTTCAATTCTGTTTGAATACGTTTAGGTCACAGATAAAAAAAACCCGTCAACTGCTGTCTTAGTTGTGAGAATAAATCTTTACGTTTTGCTGCTGGTAGCACAATAGTTGTTATTCACCTGAG